ACAAATAGTTTTCAAGCTATGGAGGCCCCACATTACAGATGGGAGATGGGCTAAAATACAATCTAATTAGTTGAGAGGCCAAGTTATAACCATGATTGGGCTTCCAGATTCACCTTTCAACACAAATAAGCACTTGCTTCATGAAATCATGTGCCGTAGTTAAGTATTGAGTTAAAATATAGAACATAACTCATAACTTCAAGCAGGTTTTAACAATCATAACTGCACCTTGTGACGGAATGAAAAAGTGAATGGCCAATTTGTTCAGGGCCTAGGGGGTAGCATTTGTGTTGTAGAAGAGTGAGAAACGGAAAATAAAAATATCAAAAAGAGTGCATACATGATACAACTTGAATGCCAACTTGCTCAGGGCAAGGGGGTGAGCATTTATGTTGTAACCGTAAAGACCAGTATAGCATTAAACATGCTACTGTCTTTATTTCCAGCGCAAGTGTGTGCATGCCAGCGCGCAATTGTCAGTATGCATGCCTGCAGGCATGCACGCAATTGTCGGTATGCATGCCTGCATGTCTGCATGCATGCAAATATGATACCCGTCTTTCATTGGTCAACAGATGTTGTCTTGTTAGTTAACAATTGCATGATGATCCCTACGGCAAACTAGAAAGGACAGTAGATATCTATCATGCAATAATCTTTTAACTACTCATTGAACTGGTTTTGCTATCTTTGGGTGTAACGGTTTGGAGTAGCCATGTCTAAGCTAAAGCCAAAGAAAATACAGTTCTTATAAGCTACTTTTTTTTCTTCCACTTTCTTTGCTTCTTCATAAAGCTCTGATACACTACATTCTTCTTTGCTTCTTCACACCACATCAACTAGACCACAATTACTCTTCTTCATTCAGATTTCTTTAGAAACTTCAGGGACTTCATTCTACAAGTCTTATGAGCTCTCACTTACTTTATTCATTCAGTTTTTGTAACTACTTTCTTCTGCACTACTTCAAAATATTGTCAACTAGAACGCACTGGCCTTTCTTCACTCAGCTTCTGTTAAAGACACCAGAATCTCCACCATGAAAGTGTAATAAAATTTCACTTTCTTTTTCCTTACAATTAACCAAAACACTATATTTAATTATTTATTGGCAGATCTTCCTTCAGCTTCCTTAGGTAACATGAGAGTTTCCATTATGCAAGTATAACATGATTCCACTTATATGCGAGTATAACATGATTCCACTTATATTCATACTTTCCATAAACAATTTTATAGTACTTAATGTCATTGTTACTGTTGTTGACATTTTTGTAATTGTTATTACTGCTATATACTTTTACTTTAATAAATAAAGCAACTGAGATTCTTTTATACAGTTAAGTACGATCAAGAAACTACTTGAGACACATCTCTACTGCTTATAATGCAAACCCCTCATTTGCATTTGAATCTAGACGGACCCAGTGGTGGTGGATAACACATCTCCACCACCTAGATTATCAAGTGAAAAGAGCCAAATTAAGAACCCATCATATCAAACTCTCCTCGACATTTCTTTCAACCCAAACCCATGCCAGATACCATTTTTTTCAATGTAACACTATTTAGTACACATCCTCACAACCTCAAACAAACCAATAGCCCCAAAGCTATCTGCTCTCATCATAGATTGAAATAAAGGCCAGTTCATGTTCAAGGTCAGAATTATTGTTTGTTACCAATGGACCTCTTCTAGGAAAATCCGCACAAATTTGTTCTGTTTGTGAGTACAGCATGCATTCGCTAGAGTTACCTTAATGTTATGCAAAAAGCATAATGCATAAGATCCACTCCACAAGAAAAAAAAACAAATGAAACTGCACATTCAGCCAGCACAACGAATATGTGTTTCTCTAGCAAAATATTAAAACCAACAAGAATTGTGACATAAAGATGAAGAGAAAAGATCTTAAAAACCAGGATAACTGAATTTAACAGTGCTCACTCTTTTCCCTCAACTTTAGTATGTCCACAAACATCACAGGGACTAAATTCATCAGCAATACACAAACACTAAACATGCAAACAAGGACAAATTATTGACAACATATGCACACAAATATAACTATGAAACATAACTACAAAGTTAAAATCATGAAGTATATGCAAAACACGAACAAACAGATATATCCACACATCAAGGTTTATGAACTTAGTTTCAGTTTTGCCTCCCTTAAAAGTTTGTATCGGCTAGCTAGTAAACTCTCCAGAATTCTACTATAAATTTTTTGTTTTTAGATTTAGCATATTACTAAAATTTATAAATATTATATCAATTGTAGAAATATAATGAAACTATAATTTCATTGAAAATTTGTATCATATATTATTAAGATTGATGATTGTGAAGTCATGCTATAGATACACAATATAAAAGATATATCAAGGAGAAGTATTTAGTTATACTCAGATAAAAAGAATTTGATTTAGGAATCCTATACTCAGATAAACAGAATTTGATTTAGGAATCGTATGTAAATATTCACTTGGGAGTTTACAAAGTACAAATATTAGGGTCTGGAACCTGAAACCTGCTAGAATATGTGAGGAACCCAGTACACACATGTAAGTTAAGTTGGTTATGGATACTGGATAGAACCAAATACCTGACAACTGAAATTAGTTTAGTAAATTTTAATGTTTGGGTCTGGATTTTAGATCCCCATTTAACCAAATTTCATGCTAGTTTGAAATTACTGCCCTGAAAACAAGTATATTGCAGCAGAAATCTATTTCCTTGAAATGTGTCTCCATATAACTGTACATATGTATCAAGAGCGAGAGAGGAGGGAGGAGTGCACAGCGTATGTGCACGCGTGCGCATATAGAGAGGAGAGGGGTATATGTGAGTGCACACTCGTGTGTATAGACAAATACACACAAGACACACAGACATATGCATGTGTGCATGCTCACACGCTCCCAGAGAGAGAGCGGGATGGAGGGAGGGAGGGGGGTTGGAGAGATGACAGCACATTCTCCCAGTCACGAACCGTGGTGCAGCACTAACGTGATACCTCAGCCTAACTGCCTCAGCTAGTTGTCATCTTAGTTATCTTTTACCAAAAAAGAAAAAATTAATAATCAACTCAAAGGAAAAAACATTAAAAAAAACAAATAACAGAAAAAGCACCCTTACATTAACCACTATACAACAACTAGCAGAGAGGGAGAGATGATAGCACATTCTCCCAGTCAAAAACTGTGGTGCAGCACTAACGTGATATATTAGCCTAACCAGCTTAGCTAGCTATCATTAGGCGTGTCCGTTCGAGCTTTGGCCCGGACCCGGCCCGGGACCAGGAAAAGCCAGGAAGCCAGGTTCCCAACCCAGGTCCAAGTCGGCAGATAAACCTAGGTCAGGGTCCGGGTCGGTCCAGACCCGGACCGAGTTAGGGAGCCCAGACGGCTCCCTACCAGTGGCCCGGACCTGGACCAGACCAGGACCGGTCCAATGGCTAGCAAATCTTTTTTTTTTTCTTTTTTTGGCAGAAAAAGAACAAGTTAAAAAAAAAAGAAACACCGGGCCAACGCGATGCCCGGCCCGGACCCAAAAATCCGGACCAGTCTGGGCTCGCCCGTTTGGACAGGCCCAGTTATCATCTTAGTTTTCTTTTACCAAAAAATATAATAATAATAAACTCAAAGGAAAAGATAAAAAAACAAATAACAGAAAAAGTACCCTTGCTTTGACCATTTTACAACTACTAGCAGTTGTAACATGAAGAGCAGTAATATTGGAGATAAATTTCAGCTCCCTTCTGGGATTTTAGTTCCACTGAGTACAGATGCTGACATGAAGTATAGTTTCTGGGTAAATTTTCAGTTGTCTTTAGAATTTTGGTTCTGCTAAGCAGTAATATTTTATTTGCAGGTGTGATAGTTGCTCCAAATGAAGCTAAGAGTGCAGGCTCAAGGATAATATTATAAATACGAAGCGTAATACTCGGCCATAATCTTCAATTTCTTTTTGGAGTTTTGTTCCCCTGAACAGTAATACTTTCTTGGAATTTCCCAAGTGAAATAGTGCATTTGTTGGTCCACACAAAGCTAGCGAGTGCCAACTATGTGTGTGTGCACGTGCATGAATTTACATTATAAACGTACATAGAGAGATAGAGTAGATAGCTACATATTAACACCCATACAAAACCTTTATGTCCATTTAGTACATAATTAATGAGTCATAAAATCGATTCACATATCACAGGCATCTCAATTTTGCAAATGTTTCCTTTCCAGAAGACTTGTAAAACCACGGAGTTACTTATGGCGCCAAATGAAACTAAATCAAAGAAAAAATAATGTATTACGCTTACATGAGAGAATAGCCTTGCCCTTTGTTCCTTTGCACCAACATAAAAAATACATTGTACAGATGGCAACCAGTTATGCAGCTCGCTCTGGATAAAAAAAAAAGGGAAAGAAAGAAATCAGTCAAGTATAAGCTTCTATAGATGAAAATTGGCAAAATCAGTAAGAATGGGAAAACATATTCTGACCTTCCAATTTACTAAAACAGCATTTGGAACTATGATGAGATGGGGCCCGTAGTTTCCTTTGAACTCCATCAGATAAGCAATCAATGCCATTACCTGATTATTCGACAAACAAGTCCATTTTTCCCAGATGAGCAATAAGCTACATAGAGAAGACAAAACTACACAAACTGATATAAAAGCACGAATACTTCTGATAAAAGGCATGCTTAAAGCTGATGAATTTCTCTAGTACTAGCTGATAGCACAAATAATAAACTCAACAAAAGGTTAACTCTTGTTATAGCTCATAAGTGCCAAAAAAATCTGATCTCACTTCATTAACAGAAAGAAGGCCAGCATCAAATAAAAAAATAGTGGTAAATTAAGAAAAGAAAAAAAAATGAAAGAACATGGAGCAACCTGTACGGTCTTGCCTAAGCCCATCTCATCTGCCAAAATCCCGTTCAATTTGTTGTTATACAAGGAAAGCATCCATTGCAGCCCAACCTGGAAATAGTGAAAGTGAAAAGGGACTCATATCTAACGGAAAATTGAATGGACTCGACAGAACCAAAGATAATTTCATTTAGAACCTACAAGTTGGTACTCCCTCAAGGTTCCTGCCCGTAACATTGAGGGCTGTCGCAAAACTCGTTCATTCACGGCATGTGCCAAATTATAATACCTTCAATCCATGAGATATATCAGCTGTGTCAGTAATAAATGGACGTACATAACATGATATAAAAATTATATATCATAGGACTGCAGCATGTTGCTTTGTTTGGATATGAGCTATTATTTCCCCTTTTCCAAGGAGATGCAAATTTCACAGCATTTAGTTGTGGCAAATAAAGACTATTAATGTCCAACACAAAACACCATGAATCATCAGTCATGATAATAATAAAAATACAATTGAGAATGAACTTACTTATTATCAGAAGTGCTATCCCTTGGTGCATTCATCTCTGAGAACCTATTTCTGATGATTACTTCCTCTCCTGCACATATTGCAGCAGCCTTCACTTCTTCTTCTGAAAGGCCCTGTTTATAGGAAATTAAAAGAATGAATGAAATATAGATCTATCTCCACCATACTACTAGTAGCCAAAGAAAATAAGAACAAAAGTAAAATAGAAATGAGAAAAGATGCCGACCTGCAACCGTGCAGCAGCTGCTGCAGCTTTTGCAGCTTCTTCCACCTCTTGATGGTTCTTTGCTGCTGTTATTTTCCCTCCAAGTTTGTGGAGATACTCTTCTGTCTGGGAGAGAAAAGATGAAAGGACAACATAGCGCTGAGATGCATCACCAGGTACACTGGTCTGTTGCTCCAGCAGCATTTCACGATATCGATCAACATCATTATTCTTCAACGCCTCCATTCTCTTGTTTCGATCATCATCTTTCCTCTTAGAGAACTCTCTCAACATCCTCTCATGATATTTAGCCACTCCTCTATTGCGTGTTGTTCTTGCATCACGAATGGCCCAGTGAGCTTCTAGGAGCTTCTTGCGCCACTGGAAAATAGCCTTTAATTGTTTTTCCCTTGCGGCTTTTTGTAAGTGCTGGACTTGCCTCGAGAGTTCAATGCGCTGACGTTCACACTGCCTAACAAATTTACGGTATGGCCTGTCAGGCATTGCCATTATCTCTTGCTGATGCTGGTCAACCTCATCCCTCAGGCGAGCCTGAAGATCCAAAAGACGAATTTTTTTCTCTTCAATTTGCAGCCTAAGAACTATGTCAGGTTTGATTTGTTTATTCTCGAAGTTAATGGCAAGTAATCCACCAATCTTCTTCAAAGTCTCAGTTCTTTTTCTGTTAAGCACTTCCACACCTTCCTCATAAAGTAAATCTTTTAAATCATAAGCTAACGTTAGACCACTTGAGGAATTTGTAGTGGATAATCCAAGGGAGTCATGTTTCCTGGTAAAGAATGGAAAATCAAATAGCGGACCATGATATCTTCTGGTGGGAACATCTTTTGAAGGTGGTGCACTGCTGTTAGAAGCTGATTTAGTTAATTGTGAAGAATCGAGTGTGGCATTGGGAGTTGGAACTGCTTTTCCCTTATTGGCATTATAATCACACTTAACAGCTTTTAATTGACCATCTCGTTCAACCTCCGGCTCAGCTTTAACAGTTACAACAGTGCTTTGTTCTGCCTTCCGACTAGATGATACAGGTTGAGATTCCTTTGTTGTACTTGCTGGTCCTTGTAAAGGGGTAACTACAGCTGTTTTTTCTTCTCCACTGGCAGACTCCTCCTTTGGCACATGTCCTTTGCTAGGTGGAACAACCTGGGGAGTGGTATTGCTGGTCTTTAAATGTTTTGCATGCTCTTCAGCAATTTTCCCATCTGAGTTTTCCCGACTAGATGTCCCCTGTGAAAGGAAACCCTGTTGTGGCTCCGTATCAAGAGGTGGTGGTGCAATAGCTTGAAGAACTTCCTGTGGAAGAGCACCTTCACCACGCTGCAGAAAACACACATGAGATGTTAACTTGGCTAAAATACCAAATTGGTATAGTTATACGAACGTGTTTGCCAGTTTGGTATTTTTAAAAACTCCAGCGACAACAAGGCATTAAAGCTCGTCCTTTTTTGTCAATAAGACCATTTTTCCAAAATTCCGACAAGAAAATTTATTTTAACCCCCTACCTCCCAAAATTATATTAAATATATGCCCAAAATTATCAAAAAAAAAATTTCATCCCCTCCCTCTCCCTCTCCTCCTCATCGTCGACGTCCTCCTCCTCCTCCTCCTCTCCCATTCCCCTCTCCTCCCCTCCTCCGCCTCCCCTTCCCCCTCCAACTCCATCCATGATCTATATAAATGAAAATTTAAAATAGAGGGCACAAATTAGTTTGCACAGAGAACTCCGATCATGAGGACGCAAATTAGGAGATCACCGAAGAGAAGACTGAATTGGGTTGAAGTCCTTATAAGTAACTTATATTTTGCTCATAAGCGTCAAGCATAATTTATGAGGACCAACATTTACCACCTATTACCGCTGACCTATCACTTGAACTGTTCGATGCCAAAATATCAGAAGAGAAAAGATCTTCGTTTCAACTGGAATGAACTCCATCAGTAGATCAATAATTGATCAATAACTAAACACGATAAGGTACAATACCAACTATACTATATTTTTCTTCTAAATTATGTCATTACTCAATTGAAAATTTGATCTCCACTCAAAAGATCCATAAACTAAACCATCCTCTCTATGACATCGGTCGACATTAAAGAAAGTTTTTCAAAAGCAACAAAATTAAACACAGTGCCGATCCCTCTTCTGTCAAGCAATTCCTGGTAGATGCCAATGCGCCAGATGCCCGTAAGATTATTAAAAAAGAAACAAAGAGCCTTACACCTTCTATAATAATTCCATGCATGCTTAAACTATATTATTTTAACAAGCAACTGTCATTAGGCTATGCCTCCTTCATTCCTGTGGACCAGTTCCGCTGGTGGAGTTCATTATCTATGCAGACACAACGGAATGGGAGAGGAGGGGAGTGGGGAGATCAGGGATGGAGTTGGAGGGGGAAGGGGAGGCGGAGGAGGGGAGGAGAGGGGAATGGAAGAGGAGGAGGATGTCGACGACGAGGAGGGGGGGAGAGGGAGGGGATGATTTTTATTTATTTTTTATTTTTATTTTTACTTTTTGATAATTTTGGGCATATATTTAATAATTTTGGGATGTAGGGGGTTAAAATAAATTTTCTTGCCGAAATTTTAGAAAAAGAGTCTTATTGACAAAAAAGACGAACTTTAATGCCTTGTTGTCGTCGGAGTTTTTAAAAATACCAAACTGGCAAACACGTTCGTATAAATATACCAATTTGGTATTTTAGCCGATGTTAACTTATACTAAAAATTTGATTGCATTTCCCATAGTTAAAAGAATGTGAATCTCTAGCTAAAAGCTTTCCGGAAAGAAAAAGAGAAAGAAGGGAAATGTTTCCCTCCAGTACCTTGAGCCGCCGAAATGCTAATATTTGTGCTTTCAGAACATGAAGCTGCTGCTTGGTAAAGCCAGTGCGTGGTTGGGACACTTGGGTTGGTCCCCCTTGAGCTGATGTTTGGGAGCCGATGACCTCACCTGAAGGAGCTGCAGGTTGTGATGGCGGTCGATTCGATTGCTGTAATTGCCGGAAGTACTGAGCTTGCAGTGTTTCAGGCCCACTACTTTTACTCTTAGAGCCTGAATGGTCTGTGCACTTGCTTGAGTTACCAGAAGATTGTGGTGGATGCATTGTGGGGCCTCCATTCCCCATGGACACTGAAGGTCGATCGACCCTCTCAATATGGCTGTCC